TGAAGAAAATAAGGTTGCATCCCAGGAGCTCTACAAGAATGTTATAGAATGATGAATGCAGCCAAGGAAAACATGAAGAAAATAAAGTGGAAAATAACACATGTACGACAAATAAATTAATTATTTCCATTTACATATTAAACTGTTGGTAAGCCGACAAGAAAAGTTATTTAGGAAAATTATTATTTTAGTTATTGCATTTAAGACTGCTATACCATGTGCAGCTCAAAAGAAAAAGAAAAAAAGTAATATAGCCACATTGGGAGATGGGCTACAAGCAAGTGTATGACATCACTTTAGGGCACGCAGCATGTATCCATGGCAACGCTCAGATGCGTAGTGACAGTTAACGGTCCTCGGTGATTCCTCAGACATGGCCTTGAGTTTTTGCTTTCGTTGGTCGAAAAAGTATTTATACTTTTATATTTGTAGACATTAGCTACCATAACCACTGTGTATCTCATAATGCTTACATTTTATGAAAAGTTTACCTTTTTAAACATTTGCTGAAGTTGTCCCATACGGCTGCTGACGTTAGCCTATGTGAACACTTTCGAAGCTAACGTTAGCATGTAAAGCTGAAATGATTAAACGTGTATAATATTGACAGATATTGAACTTAAATATTGAATTTCCATATTGTAAAAATGCACACTGATACGCCTATATGCGGCAAAAAGGCCTATGTGCGCTACATTGGTCTAAATCCAAATGTGTTCATTTTGTTGTTTTAGGTTAGAAGACAATGGGAAGAATTGCCATCGGACTAACCACAGGTGACAACCAGAGACACATACACACACGGAAAGAGCACCGCAACTTTACAATTGTTCAATTAAAATAAACTTATTTTGCTCCATACAACATGTCTGTTGTCTGCTTTGTTTAGCCTAAAAGTAAAATAAAATGACATTCAGAGGACTTAAAGTGAAAGTCCCCTAAATGTCCCAAATGGCCGCTGCACGTCCTGTGAACGTCCCCTTGAACGTCCGGAGGACGTCTTCGCGAACGTCCGCTCGACGTAAAAGGGGACCCTACACGCTAGTGTAATTTACTTGGCAGTCAATGGGACAGTCACAAGCCTCCCGGTTTTCATCCAAAATATCTTAAATCGTGTTCCGAAGATGAACGAAGCTTTTACGGGTTTGGAATGACTAATGTCAATTTAAATGTTCATTTTGGGGTGGAGTATCCCTTTAAAGCCAAAGTCCCCTAAACGTCCCGAATGGCCGCTGCACGTCCTGTGAACGTCCTTCGCGAACGTCCGCTCGACGTCAAGGGGACCCTACACGCTGACGTCCGGGGAACATTCACAGAGGCCATTTAGGGGACGTCCTGGGGACCTTTTTTTGTTAGCTGGGTAACTATTCAAATACTTGATATCTATTCCAGTTTTCCTACTAGCATATATTCCTTTACTATTAACAATCTTGCTAGTAAGAATTAAGGACCATTCTGACTAGCAGTGTTGGGGGTAACGCATTACAAGTAACGCGAGTAAAGCTGCAATAATTAAATATGTTAAATAATACAAATATCCTTTATGTATTTAATCCCATTTTATTAACCAATTTGCTGCTGACCTTCAGTGATCCAATTCAACCATACTAATAAGCAAAAATTACACAAGATAAACTAACATTTCTTCTTCTTTTTTTATTGCTGAAGAGTGTTGAAGTTTCTTCTTCTGTGTTCAGACATCAATTTACATTTCCTTCAGCCTGAGGCTTTTGGTGTGAAAGGGCTTTTACATTTGCCAAAAATAGAACTTTTTATATTAAAAGCAAACAAGCAAGCCCAGCCCAGATTTAAAAAGTAATGCAAAAGAAACGTAACACATTACTTTCAATAAAATGTAACTAAGTAATGTAATTAGTTACTTTTTTAGGAAGTAACGCAATATTGTAATGCATTACTTTTAAAAGTAACTTTCCCCAACACTGCTGACTAGTCCTTACAAAAAAGCAAATTGTATCTAGCGAGAAATGTCACAGTAAACATCAAGATGTCTCATAATATTTATTAGACAATTAAGCATACTTAAGAAGTAACTAGTTCTTTACTAGTAACACGCAGTATCAGCAACAATTGGACTAGGCGAAAATTAATATATGAAACACAAATACAGATTAATTGGTTAAAAATTTAGCAAAGAAATAATAGGCTAACAAACACATGACGTAAAGGAACTTGTAACAATATATACCAGCAAGTTTTAAGCACTAAATATTAAAAGAGCCTGCCATAGTGTACACTTACCTGGAGTTTGAACTGTTCCAGTAGACCTCATGTCTGTCTGAGATGATCCGGTCGTCCGACCATACGGAGACCCAACACACTACCGTAAAAACCACCAGCGGCAACTCCATTTGAGTTGTTATACTAGTCCTCACCTCCAAACGAAAAATCACGGTCGCTTATTTCAGACAACTTTTCAAACACCTGCTTATACGCAGTTTTGAACATCATAAGAACGCTTGTAATCCAGAGCGATTTTCATTCCTTCCGAGCGAATGAGCAGCATTACTTTCTGTAGCGTAGGCTACTTCATAAACTGCACACATTTGATGTTCCTTTTAGGGAAAAAAAACATTACAATTGTTTTTTATGCTGCAAAAGGTCTCCAATGTGGTCCACGGTAATTTTCTAGCACTCTGTCAGAAATCCGTCCATCATCTAAACGCGGGACAGTTTGATGCGCGTCTCGAGCCTCCTACAGTGATGCTCCCCGTTTGCAGCGCTGCAACTTCCAGATACCTCTACCCCATGTGGTCTGCGCGAAAAGCACACATGAAACACATCCCCGTCTGTAACGCACGCCTTTCTGATTCGCGTTTCCTCAGCGCTCCATCTTATTCGCACAAGTTATGTTAGTTGTTGGCGGAATCGTGTTGGTTCTGGCTGGCTCCAGCTGAAAAGCAGCTATCCTACGCATATCTCAAGCCGTTTGCACGAGAGCTCGGGCAATTTTGCCCCATTCTGCCTTAGACATCTCTGCCTTTGCTCATTCTTTGGATCAGCTTTTCGGATCTGATAAATGTTTAGCTTCGATCGACTAAATCGTATAAGCTTTCTAAGGCATCTGACTCGCGCACTTAAACATAATTCATCGGTTCATCCTGAATCTGATTCGTGTGCGACAGTTATCATCAGCGGTGTACATTCAGGAGGGGGCGGGGTCTGAACGAGCTCTCTTCAAACTCACCTCTGCAATTTACTTCGTCATCTCAAGACCATTCATATGCGTCTTTAAATTGATTTCTTGAGAATTTCAGCACCTTCCTTTTACAGCAGTTGTTATCAACTGTTGTCCAAAATAACATTCAAAAGCCCTCATTTTCGCAGGCTATTCTGGTACTTCAGCTTTGAAGCTGCTTGCTTTTTTATTAACAAAAACTAGAAGCATCAATAGACAACATAAACCACATTTCTGTGAACGATAGGTTCTGCAATAAACACAACATAAGAATGTCAATTTATATCTTGTACATTTTCATTATCTTCTCTCTCATTATAAAGTAATAGTTCAACCAAAAATGAAAAATTGCTGAAAATTGACTCAGGCCATCCAAGAGGTTTTTTTTCCCTTCATCAGAAAGATTTGAATAAATTTAGCATTGCATCACTAGCTCACCAATGGATCCTCTGCGGTGAATGGGTGCCGTCAGAATGAGAGTGCAAACAGCTGATAAATGCATCACAATAATCCACAAGCAGTCCACATGAATCCACTCCATCAATTAACATATTGTAATGTGAAAAACTGTTTGTAACAATTTAATCCATAAAGGTATTTTAACTTTAAACCATTGGTTCTGGCCAAAATGGGAGTCTATAATCTATAATAAGGCTTCCTCCAGTGAAACAGTCCATCCCGTTGTCCTTTCACATCAAAATCCACCAACATATTTGTTTAGAACTGGTTTGGACTGTTTTTACTAGTAAATGTAGCTTGAGCTGTGCATATTTCTTTCCTGATTCAAACAAGACAGATTTTTAACTGGAGAAAAAATAATATGGACAGAACTCGTATTTTAGCCAGCAGCAGTTTGAAATTAAAAACATCTTAATGGTTTTGTTTATTATAAACATACAGCTTTTTGCTTCAAGAATTTAACTGATCAGCTGGAGTCATGTGGATTATTGTGAGGTTTTTATCAGCTGCTTCAACTCTCATTTTGATGGCACCCATTCACTCCAGAGGATCCGTTGGTGGGTAAGTAATCCAATCCAAAGAAACAAACTTATCTTGGACGGCCTGAGAATGAGTAAATTTTCATCAAGTTTTCATTTTTCATCAACAATGAAAATTGTCATTTACTCCCGCTCATGTCATTCCAAACCTGTATAAGTTTCTTTCTCATGTTGAACACAAAAGAAGATATTTTGAAGAATTCTGAAGAACCAAAGTTATTGGTCCCCATTGACTTCCATAGTAGGGAAAGAAATACTGTGGAAGTCATTAGGGACCATCAACTGATTACCAGCATTCTTCAAAATATCTTCTATGTTCAACATAAGAAAGAAACTAGTTTGGAACAAAATGAGGGTGAGTAAATAATGACAATCTTCATTTTTGGGTGAACTATTATTCCTTTAAGTTAAATAATTTCTTCTATCAGTCCCCTCCAAAGTTTGCTGGGAAAACTACTGCTCTATTCATAATTAAATGCCTTGAAAGAATAAATGAACTACATTTCCCCCTTTGCTTAATTACCTTACAAATGTACTGAAATATCAAGCAGAAAATAGCATGGGAGGCAAATTATTTAAATATCTGAAAAACCAAGTTTGGTATAGGACTAGTAGATAACTTTCTCAATAATATGGATTGGCACCTCTTTAAATGAGCTGCTTAAACTGATCCAATAAAGAAATTCTCTGAACCGTGAAAAATGGTTGGCCCAATGCCTCTCAATTCTATGAACTCACCAAAACTACTGGGGTCATTCCTGCGAGTCTCACACACACACACACACACACACACACACACACACACACACACACACACACACACACACACACACACAATCAATGTTCTGTCTGTTACCGTCCTGATGCCTCAATGATCCTAATCAGGTGGACATCTGAAAATTTATTTGTTTGGATATGAAATACATTTGCATAGTTCATGTATGTCTTTTTGATTGCAGAGATGTGCACCAGAGGCATACCAAGGATTCTGACCCTGAGAAAAGCAGGCAATACTTTTAGAAAATGAGAAAGAGATGGGGGAATGGGGTAATAGATAGGCAGATTGGCAAGAACAAGTGATTTATGAAAGAAATAAGCAAGAATGCTGAAAGAAAACAGTAAAGCCAAAGCCAGACTATTTTATTAGAACACAACCCAAGCAAGTCAGTCTAGTCCAGTGACCCTAAAGGTGACTAGATTTAGGCTAGGTTTTATTTAAACATAGATTTGGTGTAGATTTATGCATTGCACATTGGCTAAATTTAACTCAACATATCCCAAGCCCTAACCTGTAATCTCCCCTTTCCTCCCACAAATACAAATCTCAACTCCATCCATAATTTTACCCTTTCCACCTGAACTAGGTATGTTGTTACTTCATATTTCCAATGGCTCTTATTGATTGATGAACATATTCATTCTGTTGTTGGCAATTCAACCTTAAACACACGGTGCACACGGTGATATAGTCCTGACAAAAGGTATATAGGCTTTGAGCTGGGTATTTTTTTTGTGTTGTGAAATGTAAATGTAACTGTATTACTTAACCAGGTGACATTTATTATAGCGCTTGTCTTATGACTTGTAAAACATTTTATAAGCTCATCTTTAATGAAAAAAAAAAGACACTTAGAAACTAATTTTTCATTAAGTACAAAAACCCATAAGGCACTGAAATGTAGGAATGACCCAGTTTTTAATCTTAAACTAGTGCGCCACCTGCTGTTCAAGGAACACCATACCATTAATTTAAGAGAGACCTTCGTTCATATTATGCAAAATAAAAAGTAGACCTAGTTTTTGGTCTCTCTACCTTTCATTTTAAAAGTGCATATGCATATGGCTCCTGCTTGATGCATCCAAATATGAAGTCATAATAACGGTAATAAGGTATAGAAACACACAATAGGCGCGGTTCCATTACAGATTAGCGCAAAACTTTGGCGATATTTTCTAAATGTCGATAAAAAAAATAAAAAAAAAAAGTATTGCGAAAAGACGGCGTTTCCATTAACCAATATTATGCGACTTAAACGTAACTTTTGGCCTCTCGTGATAAGTCATGGCAACGGATTTTGGTGGGATTTTGGCTATATTTATTCAAAGGAGGCTTATGCGTGTATCTTTACAGAAGCAGCAAAGAGAGCCGCTTCAGAAACGTGCGTGGCGCAGCTGGAATAAACCATAGACTGTATAAAAACAAACACAAGCATTGAGTGGCCGTAATCAGCTTCAGTGGCCGTTTCAGAGCCACACTGCACCGCAGACGTGTGCAGTGCAAATTGTCTAAGCATTAATAGTACGGAAAGCCCCTTATACTGGAGCGCGGCCACTTATGAAGCGTTTCTTGTAGGTTATAGTACATTGAAGAATGATCATATGACTTTTACATACGCCATGTGACCTGTAAATGCGAAAAAGCCGTTTTATTCGCAATTTCAATTTGCGCAGTTTGAAGGGTAATGGAAACGCGCCTAATGACAGAAAGTGCTTAAATTGGCAACGCAGTATTATGTCAAAAAAGATGCATTTCAGTCATATTTCAGCCTAGACTGCAGATTGCATCTCCATATACTCCATACACAACCTCCTTTTGAATATCACAATCCTAATAATTATTTTGAGCAACGTGCAGCCGCTCAATTAAAAAAAAAAAAAAAATCTCACTTCAAAAGTAAATTCATACACGGATTTCTCATCCTATATCCTAACAGCAAACAGATGGTGAGAAACAAGTTAGTGAAACCAATGAGTCATTAGAGGTCTCTCCCAAAATGTAGGAAGGTTGATAAGAGAGACTGCTACAGATGCAGAATGTGAAAAGGTCAAGATGTTTAAAAACTTCAGAAATTAAAGAGACAAAGGGTAAAAGCAAGAAACAGAAAGATTTATTGAAGACAGAAAAAGTACGAGCATCTATATCAAAAGAAGGTTAAGCTTTCAAGAGGGCAATTACATGTTCAGACGCAATGCATTGGAATCTCTTTTAATATTGTGTAATAAAAAAGGAAGGCTCTGCAATGAGCTGAATGTCTGCTATTACCTTATCAAAATATACGTTTGCCACAGAAATTATGTTGATTTTCAATTACTTGTACAAAACAAATTATATACAGTAGCCCTCGCCCACTCCATTTCTCAACATTACATCCATACTGGGAAAAACAAGGAAGTATAACTAACGCAATAGAAAGGAGTTCTGTTGCTACTTTAAGACTTTTGTTTGGTTCTGTTCTCTGATAACAGAAATAATTTTATACATACTTTAGGCCAAAAAGCCCTACGTCTTCTCTAATTTGTAATATTTTATTTTCAAGATCGTGTGTTGCTTCTTGTAAACAAAGGCAATAATATACACATAGGCAGTCTTTTTTTTTTTCACCTTCATCCCACTAAAATCAAAGCTGTTGAAAAAAAAAAACTGAATAATCGCTGCACAGTAAAGATACACCTCTATAAGATATCAAAAACTGGCTGGCAGAACAGGGAAGATGCTTTGGTCCATCATGCTACTCTTCAGGAAAAAAAACAAAAATACCCACACAAACAAGCGCAACACCTGTCAGTAACGCCAATATTCTGCTAAATTGCAAAGGATAAAATAAACTGAGAATTTCCCATGGCCATGGCCTTAACATTTCCCCTCAGACAAAGAAGTGCTAAAAACAGTCTGACGTCTTGTCACAGGTGTCTCGGTTCACACAATTGTCACACAGGAGATTAAGACTCTGTAATGCTAATATTCTTTAACACAAAGGCAAGTGACAGAAAGAGACCCAGTAGAAACTTGAGCTCTGGAAAGTCAAAACGAACGGTTTACAAGTTCATTAAAACTCTTGTGAACTTGACTTCCTTTGCCACACGCAACATAACCAAAAATTATGTAAAAATCATAGGCGGCGAACTCTGGTTTGGATCCAAGTGGTTTCATAAATCGACGAAACCCTTAAGCAACAGGGAAAAAAATAAAATAAAATCCAGCTCCCAATTAAATGGACAATACGATGGTCTAGGCACAAAGAGCACAGTAGGCCAATGCCCAAATAGATGATACAGTATACAAAAATATGTGTGCGACTTAATATGGAATGAAACTATAGAATCTTACAAACGGTACAGAAGCAGAAGAACCACATGTATAGAATAACTATATGCAAAATAAGCTGTGACAGTCAGGTACAAAACCAAAGCCTGTAAAGAACTCTGAACTAGTTTCTGCTTTTCGCAGGAAAACAATCTGCGCTTTCACTAGTCAAATCACAGGGAGCAACTGGGAGCAACTGGGAAGACCAAGCAGGTTTTTTTTTTCTTGTATGTTTGAGGTTAATGGTTCTGCAAAGAAGCCAAAAACATCAAGACATTACTAAGGCCATTAAGAATATATACTCTAAACACCATGTAAGGCACAGCTGCTTTTTTTCAAAAAGGCAAATAGGGAATAACTTTGAAAAAGTTAATTATAGGTTCAATAAACAAAACAATGCTTCGCATGTGCAACCTGAAAGGGTGCGGCTTTCCGCAGAGGCACAAGTGTAAACTATGCAGCATCTATGATCCAAAACCGATGTGTGCCAATGATTAACTAAATCATGAGACAAACCGTCTGAGAAAAGGTACTATTAAAACCCAAGTCACATTGGGTTCAGTTCTACTGGTTCAAAGTGGAATTACAAATAGCCATATATATATATATGTGAATGTAGATATAATAAAGGAATGATGAAGTGTGTGTTGTGGAAAACATTTGTCCACAGTGATATAAATTGTGGAAGGCTTAAAAGTTTGGTCTAAAGTGACAGTCCTTTCACCTCCTCTAAAATAAACCAGCCTCTATCAGATGGTGGACTTGGAGAAAGACACTCTGAGGTGATGGTTCTCTCCCAGGTCATGATTGTGAAATTTGATCAGAGACTCGATTGCTTCCTCCACAGAGCCCAACTGGATGAGAGCCATTTTTCGGTCTTTCCTGAAAAAAAAAAAAAAATTAACAACATTGTAAGACTACCAGGAAACACCATGACTACATCTGTAGAACTCAAACTTGTAGAATGTCTTACTGGAAAAACTTAAAGGCCTTAACCACCGCTCCTGAACTTAGAAACAAGCCTCTGAGATGATCCTCAGTGACAGAAGGTCTGCAAAGAGAAGACATTGGTGTTAAATAAGACACTGCTAAAGACTGCCAAACAGATTGGTCTGAATTTAGTTGACTCACGGTATATTGGAAAGATGGAGAGTAGAGGAAGGGGGGAAGATGTTGGAGTAGTTCTTGGAGCCTGGCTTTTTGAAGCGGTGAAGAGGAGAGTTGCTGTAGTCCTTGGTGAGCCCCTGATCCTCATGGCCTTCACGTGGCAGCTGCACAGTGGTGTGTTTGGAA